ACATCATGTTTGGCAGAGTGGAGGGGCGGTGAAGGAGAGGAAGACCTTTGATGAGATGGATCGATTCTGTGACTGGAGAGGTGGGAATAAGTGTGAGATGGCTAGGTTGGCACAGGATAGAAGAGTGTATAGAGCTCTTGTACATAGGGTCGCTTTGAGTCACAAGCGACTCGATGGCACATAACAACAACATCACTAACATCATAGACTAGCAAAATCCTGCTGAAGATTATCCAGCAATGACTGAATAATACGTTGACAGAGAACTGCCAGAAAAACACGCTCAGTTTAGAAGAGGTCTTGGCAGTAGAGATATTATTGCAGTGTCAGATGGATCGTGGCAGAAAGCAAAGAGTACCACAGAAATGTCTGCCTGTGTTTCATTGACTATGCAAAGGCATTTGTGTGGATCACAGCAAGTTATGGCTAGCCTTGAGGAAAATGGAAATCCCAGAACACTTAATTGTGTTCATGGGAAAACTATACTCAGACCTGGAAGCAATCCTCAGAACAGAGCAGAGAAGCACTGCATGGTTCAGAATCAGGAAAGGATTGTGTCAGGGATGCATCCTGTCTCCATACCTTTTCAGTCTATACGCAGAACAGATTGTTCGGGAAGAAGGGCTTTATGAGGAGGAATGTGGCATCAAGATTGGAGGAAGGCTCATCAACAACCTACATTTGCAAATGATACAACCTTACTTGCTGAAACTGAAGAGGACCTGAAGCACTTGGTGCAGAAGGTCAAGGACTGTAGTCTTCAATATTTGAAGGTCAACATCAGGACTACAAAGATTCTTACCACTGAGCCAATTGGCAGCACCATGATAGATGGAGAAGAGATTGAGGTTAACAGTTACAGTTTGCTCAGCTCCACAATCCACACTCTTAGCACCAGCAGTTAGGAAATCAAAAGACAGATTGGGGAAAATCTGCTGTTGGGGACCTCTCCAGAGTACTGAAAAGTAATGATGTCAGTCTAGAGACTAAGGTGTGCCTAATCCAGACCATGGTCTTTACAATTATTTGCCATGTATCAGAGAGAATAAGAGGTACATCATTGCAAAGAAGACTAGAAGGGGAAAAAAAGAGAGAAGGGGTAAAATGCAAGAATGAATGAATGAAATCTAACTTCTGTAAGCTCATTAAAAACAAAGTAAAATTTTATTTTAAAAAAGAAATCAGATATTGTATTGGGCAAATCTGCTATCAGTGACCTCTTGTTTGTTTTTCATTCATTCATACATAACAGATTTACCCCCTTTTAATCAGGAATGAACGTTCTGTTCTAGATTGCTAATTCTAATTTGATTGTCCAGATGGACCTTTTTTACCTATTTCAATGCAGTTTATTTTCTAGCCACTCTTTTCCTGCTTTCTCCTCCCACCCCTCCTATTTTTATAACAGTGCTGTTAGTTGTCTCTTTAATTTGCAAGAGCAAGATTACCAGTTTAAACAGTAAGGTGTGCCATGCTGTTTATTTACAGCCACTACATATGCATATAAAAATTGAACAGTGAATAAGGAAGTCTGGATTAATGCCTTAAATTGTGGTGGTGTGAAGAGTATTGAATATTCCATGGACTACCAGAATAACAAACCTGTCTTGAATGAAGTACAACCAGAATGCTCCTTAGAATCAAAGGTGGTGAAACTTAGTCTCACATACTTTAATAATTTGGTCAAGAGAGGCAGTGGAAAGGACATCATACTTAGAAAGATCGAGGTTCAGCGAGAGAGAAGACCCTCGAGGAGATGGATTGACACAGTGACTGCAACAGTGAGCCTAAATACGTGTGTGCAGGTTGTTAGAATGGTTTAGGATCAGTCAAAAATAAGTACATAATACCAGGCAAAAATACATTGTACCAGTTACCAGTGCCTAGTAGTTGTGCCACCAACTTCAGAGGCAAGTGGTTCAGATCCACCAGCTGATCCATGAAGAGGATGGGCAGTCTCCTGTGTAATGAGGTCTTTGATAGTGCAGATATGTCAGAATATTTCCATCTTGTTTTATTATTAAAATGGTTCTGATTCTCAGAATTGCTATCTATTTCACCCTGCAAGGGTATTCTTTTATCCATAGATGATCTATAATAAATAATATTAAAACCAGTGTCATTTGATCTATTTCAGCAGGTAGTACATTATGGCTGACATGCAAAGTCTGGTGGAAAGATTAGAGAAGGCAGTGGGTCGCTTAGAGGCTGTATCCCAGGCGTCTGACATGCATCGGGGATATGGAGGTAGCC